GCCCTTTGTCTCCGGTCCTGTTCGTGACTTTCATGGACAGGATATCTAGGCGCAGCCTGGGGGTGGAGAACGTCAGGTTCGGGGGTCTCGGGATCGCCTCTCTGCTGTTTGCAGATGATGTGGTCCTGTTAGCCTCCTCGGATCGTGACCTCCAGCATTCACTGGGGCGGTTTGCAGCCGAGTGTGAAGCGGCGGGGATGAGAGTTAGCACCTCCAAATCTGAGGCCATGGTGCTCTGCCGGAAACCGGTGGATTGCTCCCTCCAGGTGGGGACGGAGTGCCTACCTCAAGCGAAGGAGTTTAAGTATCTCGGGGTCTTGTTCATGAGTGAGGGTAAGATGGAGCGGGAGATCGACAGACGGATCGGTGCGGCTGCAGCAGCAAAGCAGGCGCTGCACCGGACCGTCTTGGTGAAGAGGGAGCTGAGCCGGAAGGCAAAGCTCTCAATTTACCACTCGGTCTACGTTCCTACCCTCACCTATGGTCACGAACTCTGGGTCGTAACCGAAAGGACAAGGTCGCGGCTACAAGCGGCCGAAATGAGCTTCCTCCGTAGGGTGGCCGGGCTCAGCCTTAGAGATAGGGTAAGGAGCTCGGTCATCAGGAGGGAGCTTGGAGTCGAGCCGCTACTCCTTCGCGTCGAAAGGAGTCAGCTGAGGTGGTTCGGGCATCTAATTAGGATGCCTCCTGGACGCCTCCCACTGGAGGTTTTCCAGGCACATTCAACTGGGAAGAGACCCCGGGGAAGACCCAGAACACACTGGAGGGATTACATCACCCAGCTGGCCTGGGAACGCCTCGGGATCCCCCAGAATGAGCTGGAACATGTTGCCGGTGAGAGGGAAGTCTGGGTCAGCCTGCTTGGCCTGTTGCCGCCGCGACCCGACCCCGGATAAGCGGAGGAAAATGGATGGATTATCGTGGATTTTCCCCCAAATGTTTGCAAAAGCTTGTTAGAAGACAGCTGGGTCGACAGAAGATGCCAGAGAGACAGACGGGTAGATGAGCGGTGACAAACATCCCATATTTACTCGTGCTGTCCATTTTACACAGACAGATGGACAAAAGTTATTCATATTGCAGAAAGTGCCATCAGGACTAACAACATGTGAAAGCATTAGAAGTGTAACAACTGTCAGATGGATTGCTGTGAAAGATTCATGGTGCCCAGAAGATGAATACTAGTGCCTTTGGTGATCCTTCTTGAGAATTTTGTGTTGATTTCCGAGGTAGTGTTTTCTGAGCACCAGGCTCCATTTTAGAAAACCTGACAGATTGTTCCGTTCTAGTCCTGGTTCTGGTTCTTGCGTGCATCCCTTCCCTCCAGTGGGCCCATCAATACGGCCTGGGCCTCCAGCAACGTGGTGTCAGTATTGGCTCCCAGCGGGGACCGACGCTGCAGCGAGGTGAAACTCTGCTCCTGGCTGGAGGAGCTCCCGACTTTAGGTCGAAGGCGGTAGCAAAGCCAGATCTTGGTCTCTCCGCGGTGGGCTTGTTGCTGCTGGAGGCCCCGGTAGAGTCTTAGCTGAAGGTATTTCTGGTGAACCTGTAGGATTTTGTTCGATTTAGATGGAATTGGACCGTGTAGCATTAATGACAAGCAATAACAATAAGTATGGACAAATAGCCAATCTTCTCACTAATGGTCTTATTTAATTATGTAGGTCCCATAGTATCCTATACCTCAGTATAAAATTTAGACTGTTTCAAAACTAATTAAAAGTTCCTCGTTGTAACTTCAACTCTCCGTATACTGCCATAATCGGTTCAACAATCTACCATTCCATTAAATATCCAGTAATCTCTAATACTCTGGTTTATGTACAAAAACCTGCAAATCTAATGAAATACCCATCAGACTCAGCTGTACTTTGTGTTTTGTGCTAATTAGCAAGTGTTAGCATGTTAACACCCTACACTGATCCTGGTCGACATCATATCAGCTGAGCGTCAGCATAGTCTTTGTGAGCACATTAGCCCGCAGAGCGAGCACAGAAATAGATACTATCAATGTGTTATTATGGTCCAATCCATTTCAATTTATTTGTTCGTTGCTTCGAGGACTCTTAAATGAGATATGTTTGAGTAGTCGATCTGCTGCCTTTCACATTGCTCACAGCTTGAATTATACGCCTCGCCTCCGAGCTCTAAGTTTAAAAACAATATTGAATTAATTGAATCACTGACCTCAAACTGCAACAAATCTGATTATTAGAAGCCTCAACATGAAGGGAGCATCTCTGAGCTCCCAGTTGCATAATAATAGCCAATTTCTGAATTTCCCTCATCATTTGTTAAGCCTAGTCGTCCCTCACATTGTTTTACCTGAATAAACCAACATAGCACGAGCACGTGGAGATCCCCACGCAGTCCGTGCACCTGTAAACCCCAGCCGCTTTGCTCTGTTCGCTGCACTTGTGGCATTAATTAAAATAGGGCCTCGAGGGAGAGCTCCCTCAGCGTCAAAGGGGCCAATCCATCATCCTGCTGTGTACGGATACTCAAACTGCTGTCATCGCTGCTGGAGTTTTTGGCGCTGGCAGCTTTTCAGCATTCCTGTCTGTCATCTGTCATGCGTCTTTTCCCCCGTCTCTCTCTCTCTCCGACTCTCGGTTTTTCTCACGTCCTCTGAATCTCGACTCAAGCCCCAGCAGTGTGTGCGTGACCACCTCGCCGGAGCTGGGGCGTAAATCAGTGCACCGAAGTCGGTGTGGGACACTCGCATGTGAAATTTGCTGCTGGACAGCGGGGACATGACGCGTCACGTTATGACCCAGACCGCTGTGCTGATGAAGGAGCGATGGGGCTAACAAGTTGAGAGAGAGAGAGAGAGAGAGAGAGAGAGAGAGAGAGAGAGAGAGAGGAGGATGCAAACATAGAAACTAAATGATATCTCTACATGCAGTACACTGTTAGTTTAGCTACAAATAAACTGGGTAAATATTAAAGTGTATCTTAGTGATGTTAAGAGTAAATTGAGATGTGGGACCTTTTTGTTGTTTCCAAAATCGAAATCCGATTGGACACAGTGTGATCAAACTGCTGATCAGAGCCACGTTCAGAAGCAATGTGAATTGTTTCAGCAGTCTTTGCTTGGAAGTCATAGCTAATTCAGTTCTATGTGTAACATTGACGGTGCCGAAACAATGCCGGCTGCTTCATCATTAATCCCGGAAAAAGAATGTCCCCGTAGCCGCAGACAGCGTGCGACCAATTACGACAGTTCCTATGATGTACAACGTGTCGACCCACAATGCAGTTCTGCTAAGCCGTGCACTTTTCTGTACAGATGGAATAAAGGAAATCCTTTCAGAGGGGAAAGCTGCCGCAGCTCAAATTAATAGCAGCCTTTAACCAAATCCATGGCATCGTGTGTGTACTGTAAACATTCTGCCTGATGTGTCAAAAAATAGTTTGCAGGAAATATGAAGAGAATGTAGACACAAACAAACCAAGTTACAAACCAGTGGGCGAAGAAGAAATTCACGTAGGCTTGAAATGATGGGACAGAGCCGAGGAAATGAAAGAGGGCTGCCAGGAGAAGGAGAGGTCACACAGGGCTCCATCAGGCCAGATGTAACCAGGAGGGATGGGTCAAAGGGAGTGACGGAGGGATGGAAAGAAGCCAAGCACGACCAGCAGGGGCATGATTAATAGGAGAGGAAAACCTAGAAAGGGGGTTAGAGAGGGCAGACACGACCAGAAGGAGAAAGTCAACTCGAATGACAGACACCATGAATAAGATGTAATGTGCTACTCTTTCACACAGACACCTACACTAGATGAGCTGTTCTCTGAATGATCAAAATGCAATTACATTAAAAAGAACGTAGTCAAATATGCAAAAGTATTAGTGCTGGGCAAGTTAACGCGTTAATTTCGCTTTAACGCATTCATTAATTAACGCCGACAATTATTTTATCGCGCGTTAACGCATTTTTTAAAATTTATTATAATTTATTTTTTTTTTATTGAAAGACAAGAGACAATACATATACATAACAACAAGAGGATGACAAGAACAGTGGGATAAAAGCCAGCAAACATCCTATAGTCAGGTGTGTGTGTGTGTGTGCGCGTGTGTACGTCCTTGAGCCTTTTGAGATGGGGAAAAAAAAAAATAATAATAATAATTAAAAAACAACAAAAAAAAACAGGTAAGTATTTTTAATTTATTATTATTGTAACAGACTGTCTGTCTGTCTCATGTTTATCGTTTTGTATTGGAGATATGATGTCCCTTCAGGGTTGCCGTAGAGAAAAGGTGACTTCCGCTTCTGGTCGAGGGGGGGGCTGAAATAAAAAGAGAAGCTGCACCAGCTGTTGCTCTCCCTGGAGACTACTGGATATCGCTGCGGTAAAGTCAGCAGACACTCAGATCTCCGTGGTCAACTCAGCAGACACTTACATTTTAGTGCACCTATATGCTGAAATTCACGGTAAACGCATTTAAACGGCACAGATCGGGAGCGAGCGAAGGACTTTGAAAGTTAGCGGAAAGATGAACGTGAGACAACATCCGGTTTCTTCAGACGAACATCCGGTTTTCAGAATAAGATGCCAACAAAGTATGAATTATATTCACATTAAGTATAAAACATGCTACCTGCATCTCGTGAACCAAATGTTATTGCCCTTTTGTTCATATAGTGGTACTTTTAAAATAAAAGTGCGCAATACACTACTTTTGAATTCACTATTGAACTTTGCCATAACAATGCGATTAATCGCGATTAAATATTTTAATCGTTGCCCAGCACTAAAAAGTATATATGCTTTTAAAATTCTAAATTAAAGCAACAAAAAGCGTCATACACACTAATTAGGGAGTTGGCCAAAGATGTGTGCCTATGTCGATGAATTACTGTCTTTTTTTTGTTTTAACATGGTGGATTATATTAGTTTTTCCACTCTTGACTCTCATCCGCCTTCTATAAATGTGTGGTATCTAGCTTCTCCATCTAACTCTCGTACTCTCTCTTTACCTTTCTCCAATCCAGGAGGACTTTCGGAGTAAGGTTCAAGATTACATCAAGCGCTACGCCAGATGATAGAAGCATGGGCTTCCTGAGTCAGCCTGCACCAACCAACCAAACTGCTAATCTTGGCCAACTACCCCCCCCCCCCCCCCCCACACACACACACACACACACACACACACACACACACACGTCAATCAACAGCTGACTCTTTGACTCTCCCCTTGCTGCCCTGCTGTTCACAAGATTGCAATAAACTCCACATTGCAAGAACATAATAAGAAACAGAAAAATAACAAAATACAAAAACGATGTGTTTGAGTAAAGACTTGCATACAAAAGAAAATTACGCTTTAATCATCCTAATAGATTGAGTGTCCCGCTCAATGTCCGGTCATTGTGGCGAAATCACTGAATGAAGCCGCTTCCCCCGAGGAGTCCCTGAGCCAGAGACGAGCCACGGTAACGACTGGCAAGGGATGTGGGGATGAACCGTTGCTCAAAAAAAAAATAAAGTTGCGTTCAGCTATTTGAAGAAAAGAAAATTGACCAATTTAAGAGAAAGAATATCTGTTGCTATCAGTTCACTGTTTCAGTGCCTGCTATGTTTGTGTCACTAAAGAGAAAAATGCATGAGTTCACATAAACACACACAGCATCACATCCTGCAGTAAAAGGTAAACATACGTGTACACAGGCCTCCGGCTCCACTACACAGCATGTGAATGGCCGCGTTGTCAGGTCTGTCATTCTCCTTGCATGTGCATACCCACGCACACCACTCACATACACACTCTGTTTTGTGTTCAGCTCCAGTGGGATAAAGTCCAACTACTAAAACCACAGCCAAATGTATTGTACTGTGTTCAGCTTCACCTCTCCTCACTGCCCTTTTGTTGTTTTTCCTCCCTCAGTCCCTCTTGTGTCACTCACACACACACACACAACCACATGTACCTCTCTCCGTTGAGGATGGAGAGGTTCATTCATACTACAGTGCAATCAGAAAGTACTATGACAATGGCACTAATTTTGGTGTGTGGTCGCTCTGTACTTCAATGGGTTTAATGTGAAACAATGACTATGAGTTTAAAGTACTGATTCAGGTTTTTAAAATCCCAAGTCCCAAAACTTTACTGTTTTGGTTTATTCTCACCTTTCACAGCAAACAGACACAGTTAGCAACTAGCATTTAGCAGCTAAAGAACAAGATATCATTGATCTGTATATTTACGATCATGGTCCTAAAATTAGGACTTGAATTCTTGAAGAAAACATTTTATTTCTCCTGATATACAAATGGTCATTTTGTGGGTGAAGTATTCCTTTAAAGCTGAAAGCCGGCACTTTTACCTCACAGTTATTGTTTCATGTCATTGTCATCGTGCTGCAATATGGAATAAAAGACAACTTACTATCCCAAGACTGTTAGGACTGCATTGTACACACCTTTTCACTCTGGTTGCTGTGGGAATTTCCCAAGCTAACGTGTAGAGTGTGTTCATCTGGAGGGACAGAACTGCGTTCTCCCTTTCTCTTTGTGTGTGTGTGTATCAACTGTATGTTTTAACTGTCATTGGATGTGAACCTCTAGATAATTGCAGAGGTTCATACAGTAAAAACAGTAGGATAGCAAGCAGGCCAGTGAGGTAACACGCCAGCGAGTGAGCTTACTAGCTCACTCGCTCAGAGTCTTTCACTCGCTCAGAGTCTTTCACTCGGCGCGAAGGACTCTGACTTTTCCTCAGTTATGCGTCGTTCTTGACGTCCATACAAAGTGTACGTACATTGGAGGTGTTGCACTCCGGACAGGTTCGGATGACTGAAGGTAAACAAGTCGCTCACTCGGTAGCCAGTTGGCATGCTTGCTTGCTACAATGCTTGCTAGCTCACTTGTTAGCTTGCTGGTGAACTTGAGTAGGTGCTGCTATTCCACTGCCATTGTGGCCACAAACTGCGTGTTCATTTTGTATGTGTGGTAGATAGAGAAAGCAAGAGAGGCTGTCACTGAGTTAGCCAGTGAGGGTGTGTTCTACGTATGCTAGGGTGTGTTCTATGTATACTAGGGTGTGTGTGAGTTTTACTTGGTCCTAGCTAGCATTGTGCCTCCAGTTTGAGTCGTATATCTGAACATCTACACTGTTCTCACTCCATTCAGCTTCGTGTTCACACGTCTGCATGAGGCAAAGTCTATGTGATCTGACCAGTGGTGCATTTACTAAGGATGTCAGAAATCTAGTTGTTGAAGATTTTATGTCAACGGTGTGTGTGTGTGTGTGTGTGTGTGTGTGCAATGACTGATATCATGTGCTTGTTGAGCGTGTGTGTGTGTGTGTGTGTGTTTGTGAGCGCTTGGTGTGTGGACAGTTAAAGTATGATGTGTTGAAATGATGTGACTTGTTAGCATGCTCTGGTTCCCTCTTGCTGCTGCTCCTGTTATTCTGGCCCAGGGTTCAGCAGCTCAAATTGTTAGTGTTTTCTAGGTGAAAGTAAACCGAATAACAGGGAACACTGACTCTGCTGAAATAAAGGACCTCACAATATGACAAAATAACCTGGTCCGTTGAAAGCAAATGTGAATGTGGGCGTTGTGTGGTATTTTCCAGCATGGTGTTGGACCACTCAAACCTGGAAGGCTAATGTAACTGCCTATCACCATGGCAGTTCATTGTCGTGGTAGCAGTTGCCTCCAGGATACGGTAGCTCTGTACTCTGTACTTAATGTTAGCCTTACTAATACTCTGACTTGTCATATGTCCTTTACTTTGGCAGTTAGCAGTGTTCATTTCTCCCAGGATGCTATTGCGACCATATCTCTGCTTGGGCTAATGCCATGTTTGGGCCAGAGGAGAAGATTAACAATTTGTTCTTCTTCATATCCTCAACCGTTTCTTTCTCAGATTGTATATCCATTTTTTTAAGATATATTAAAAGAGAATATAAATACAACAAATGCGTCTTGTGTGTTTCATTCACTTAAGTATTTTTGCGACCGATCTTTTGCAAGACAGAAGTTTCAGTTAAGTTATAATTATTATTGCAAACAACGATTATTACCAACTAATGTGCCAATTATTTTCACCATCAATCATTAAGCGGATAAAACGTTTGTTGTTTGTCGTTATTTACGATAGTTACATTGTTACAGTATTATTTTGACACAAACCATTCATTTTTTCCAACCAATGTTAACCATGTGTCAGTGTGTGTTACTGCAAACGTGATGCGAGGCTGATATGAAACTTAACTATGGAACATGCTTTTCCCATGGCTAAAAGCACCAGAAGAAATCTAGTAAGTGGACCTTGAGTTATACATTTTTTTTGTCATTTATTTTATTATTTCAGTGGTCTGCTGATTGTTTTCAGTTAACTTTTGGGAAATTATAGATATACTTGTGTTGCCTACACTTATGCTGTACAGTAACAGTCCATCCCTCTGCTCTTCACTGACCTAGCAGTGAGGTATAATTAGCCAGGAGTGGGCTACATCCACATGCATGCACACAATGTTAAAGTCCATCCAACAATTTACAGCCATTCACCCATTTGACTTGGCTGAGGAAGACTCACACAGACACACACACACTGCCAACATCTGCCAGTCACCCACACAGTCTGTTATTATACCTGGTTTTGGAGGAAACACAATTGAACTGCACAATCCCCCTGTAGCTATACTAACTTAGGAAAGTTGTGTATATGTGTGTGTGCGTTTGTGCGCGCACTGACAGCTGACAGCCACAGCCAGGTAATGAGATGGTTGAATGCTATAAATCACATTTTCTGCAGCTCTTCGGCTGTCCTGCTCACAACACCTACCTGCTGATCCAAAACACATTCTGGACAGGTCCTCTTTAACTTGCCCCGATTAAACTAAAAGTACATATTTCCATTAACCATGCCTTGGGGAGGAGGTGAGAAAATAATGAGGAGCAACACAAATCGTGTCCCCACAGAGCGCCTGTTGACAGCACACCTGCCAGACACATTAAGGAAGAGATTAATGGGTGTAAATGATGGGTCATTTGTCACATAAATTGGCCGCAGTCGACACTCCTGCATAGGAGCTGTGTGCTTGGTTTAAATATGTGTCATGTCTGTTTCTGTTACCTAGAAGATTTAACCTACTGGGACTGTGGGACTGAAAATAGATTTCCCTTGGGACTGGAGTTTAAGGACAGACATCTTTTAAAAAAAATAAAATGCAATCCACAAGTTACATGCAGAACAAGAGTGTAACTTTTGAAAGCACATATAAAGAAAACTTCTTTATTCTAAGGTAATTTGGGGAGATTTCTGAGGTACAAAAGCTGATTTAATCAAATAAAATTGAATAAGACTCTTCTGCTGAAGATTGGAGTAATTGCCACCCATCTCACTGTGATTGACAGTACTTAAGCTCATCTATCTGGCCTACTCCCTTTTTTATCTCATAACTCATCTCCTGAGTCGTTTCCTCATACACACTCATGGGGCAATCAAAGGGAAATATATTCCTGGTATCTTTGTTGTAGTTCATTAAGGCAGGAAGTTTACAGGACTTAAACTTCATAATGCAAAGCAAAAATCATACTTGGGTGGATCCATATAACTTCAAAATGTGCACATATTTCATTAAAAAGTAGGTGTCAACTATTTTCTTAAATGTTACATACACTGTACTTTATTTTAAAATGAAGGAAGTCCACACCCCTACTTTCCACTCAGTGTACATGTAGTGAATCAAACCGCCACTGTCGTTTTATTATACAGCACAAGAAAACAAGTCAAACAACCGTGGTTTAGCTAATCCAGGATAACATGATGACAAAACTACTTGGCTAGGTTTAGGAAAATATTGTGGTTTGGGTTAAATTAATAACTGGTAAAGAAAGCCCAGCAGAGGCTTTTCTTTCTGAGGAAGCTAAAACAAGCTGGCCTGCCCCCTGCACTTCTGGTTAACTTCTACAGAAGTGTGATTGAAAGCATCCTCTGTCAGTGCTTTACTGTGTGGTATGCCAGCTGCACAGCAGAGAACAGGAGGGACCTGGCCCTGGTGGTTAAAACAGCACAGAGGATTGTGGGAGTTACCCTGCCTGACCTGGACACCGTGTATGCTGGCCGCCTCCAGAAGAAGGCCAGCAACATCTGTACAGACATCACACACCCGGGTCACAGTCTGTTTGTTCCACTACCATCAGGAAGGAGATACAGGACCATCAAAACCCGGACTAACAGGCTGAGGAACAGCTTCTTCCCCAGAGCGGTTTCCTCCATCACCCCCCCCCCCCCCCCAAACCCCACCCAGCTCACACCGGACAGTGCTGCGGTGAAACAAATATAGTCAATAACACGACACTTTAACTAAGCACATTTTTCACTTTGTAGCCATTGATGCCTGTGCTTTATCTTGTTTGATCTTGTATATATTTACTTAATGTCTTGTTTTAAATCGTCTTGTCTTAATTATTTTATACACTTTTTAACTGTTGCTGCTGTACTGACTGATGAGTCGCCAAATTAATTTCGTTGTATGTTTTTACAATGACAATACTTATCCTTATCCTTATAAGGGACTCCTGCGTGCATGTTCCATCTTTCCATGATTTATTCTTTAAATCTGTTTTCGTTGCACTTTGTCGTTTTTGCTTTTATCAATAAACCAACTTTTCCACCTCACCTCGTTGACTAACATAGGTATTGTTTCCGAATTAAGATCTCACTGCGGTCCACCGGCAGGGGCGGGACTTCGCCTGCCGGGATGACAGTAAGTCAGTCATCCCTAAAGGCAGACATGGATCAGATGTCAAAGGTTCATCTTTGTTCCTTAATTCACTGCACATGTGCACACAGTAAGTGTGTGTGTGTGTGTGTGTGTATGTTTCCTCCGTCTGTCTGTGCGTTTGTTTTGCTGACCTGGTGGGCGTTCGGTGCCAGCTGCTTCTTCCTCTCCTGCCTCTCCTCTCCCATCGTTCGAGCTCATCTCATCCGCCACGCTGGCAGACCCTGGCTGTTTCCAAGCTGCACCTCATTTCTGCAGCTCTGAACATACCCTCTCTAAAACCTCTTTCTCTGTCATGAAGCCCTTTTCAGACATTAACTGCCTATAAATGTTATCTACGGCTTCATTCAGACCCGACAGGATCTTCGGGGAAGGAGTGGTGGCACCGCTGGATCGCAGTAAGTTGGAGATATATATACACACTACTGTGAGCACTGCCCAGCTTTATGCATACATAATCCATTATGCACACCCCCGACAACATTATGCACACAGAAAAGACCATTATCTGTGCCAAACAGCATTGTACACATCCAGCAGCATTATATACATTAACTCGAAACCGTTTCGCTCACCACAAGCCACTGTTCTTGGGATAGTCGGTACGATTATGAGCACGTAAAGACATTTGAAAAGCCTCCAAGTGTGTCACAATTCTTTGTGCATACAGGGTACTAGAAAGATAACAGAAAGTGTTTTTTCACTGTAAGAAGGGAACCTGAGTTTAAGATAAATACTTGAATCCATTTATTTTTTGTGGATTTATGTGTCTACAAGAAGTCATCATCATGAAGCCTTGAGTGCCTTAACGTTTTATTTTCTTGCAGATAACACATACAGTATGTAGGAAACTGCAGCAGTGCATGGCCCAGTCTGTCATGAGCCCCTTTCAGACCATGCTGGCTTCATCTAAGTGAAATAGCTTTGTGTCAGACAAAGGAGGCCGTTATGTAAATGTTCTTTATGGATTCATTCAGACCACTCAGGATCTGCACAGAAAGACTGGTAGCACCACTGGATAACAGTAAAGAATTGGAAAATAATAATAATAATAATGCCAAGGAAGAAGACTGCCTTCTGTTCTCTTACAGTCTGCATCACGGTTAGATGATGTTTTCGGGTTGTCCGTCTCTCCCTCCCATTATTATGAACACCATATCTTAGGACCACCCAGAGGGAATGTCTTTAAAGTTGCCACAAGCGCCCACTTTGACTCGAGGATGAACTGATTAGATGTTGGTTGTCAAAGGTCACTGTGACCGAATAAAACAAGTTTTTTATGGCTGTAACTTAAAAAAGCATATGCTAATTTTGTCAATTTAACACAAATATGTAATAGGATAAAACAATGAGATGATGACATTTTGTACAGACATGGACGTAAACTCCAACTTGACTAGTTGGCGTGAAGCAGACAACCTCGAGACAGTAATGCTAGTGTATTTTGCAATTCAAGACTTGAATAATGACGATTGTGATCGTACAGTAAAGGAGAGGGGTGGTAACATTGCCGAATAAGATTGCTGTAGGGGCCTTTCTACAAAAGTGACTACGTTGCTGTATCAGACACAAAACCAACATCCGCAATTGCCAAAACATTTATGCAATGAGGTGCATGTTGAAAAAGGGCTATAATATTTGCTGCAAGATAGTTTTTACTGTGAAGCAGCTGCAAGTATGTGACATGCTGTTCAACACAAAAAGTTGAGTTAACCCAAGGGCGGCTTCTTCATAGAGTGATGAAAATGTGTATGCATCGATATTTACGCATGCTCTGTGCACCTTTAAAATATGTTAGGGAAGAATGGACTTCATTATTAGTAGTATTAGTAGGAAATGTGCACATTTTAGAAACTTAACAACAGCAACTAGGCTTGATTTAACATGTTTCATCAACATTCATAAGGTGCTTTGATTAACCATGTATGGTTGAATGTGGGCGTGTAGAGGGCGGGATGTGAGGCTGAACCAGCTGCGCACATTTACAGGTTGATTTGGGATTTATAAAAGGAAATAGCTCACTGGCAGGCGTACGCAAAGTTTTATAAATCTGAATATTTTTTGGCGTGCGTGCATTTCCTTCTTTGAATGTACGCAAACAGTTAGTTATGGATCCTACGCACTGTTTTATAAGTGAGACCCCTGGTGTGTGCAAATGAATGGGCAGATGTGTGCAGGCCCACGCGTGTCT